ATAATGACCCGTAAAATATAGATCGTTAATTTTATTAAGAATACATTGACTATTAAACATTTTAAAGAACCCTAAGAGGACTCCCCCCCCCTGGAAAACCCCCATTCAGAAACTTCAAAAGTACCCGGCATTTCGAGTTCAGAATTCCGCGTGCCAATCATGATGGTGAGTTATCTGTCCTTCGTGTCAGTACTGGAGGTATTTGCACGTATCCTTCTTGTTTAGCTACACAGCTCAGTCGACTACCCCAAATCTAATCCAAAGGAATTCTCGTTGGATCTTGTTTCCGCCGATGCCCCCATAGATATCTCGTAGCGCAAGTGAGCTTTGTCACTAATCCTTTAGTCCCGGCTTGTATGCCTGTACAGAGTATGGAAGCTTGAGTGGACATGCCTCACCAATTCAGCAAGTAACTAGAAATAGAGAGTAGGAAAACAATTGGAGGCGCAAAAGAGTGAAAAATAGAAAGCGCGTTCCAAATCAGAAAATTATTTACACCTTGTATCACTAATGAGCTTTCAGCAAACTTATACTTCCTTCCACGCTTCCTTCGATGGCAAACAGCTTTCGCGTGTAGGTTGAATGTTTGCATTCGTAATTGAGTTTACGTTTATCTAAATTAAATTTTTATTAAAAGATTTTAGCATAGAAGTGTGCGAAATTAGTCTGAAGTAACTCCCGGCAAATATGGACAGTTTAAGCAAAATGCGGTAATAATAATAATAACAACAATAACGACAATTATACGTAGTGTAGAAATAACACTTTTAACCAGCTTCAGAAATTAGAATAAAACAGTAAAGGTCCTAATGTGTTTCATTAAATTAGTAAAACGTTTCCGCCGTATAAACAATTACACACAACCTTTTCCTGGATTATTATTACTTCTTCCTGAAGGGTTGCGTAATAAAAAGGTTAATTATACAGAGAAGGGCGCGACCCTTGCCGGTGGTGCTTCACGTGAACGCCATCGGAAGTCGACTATGTTTGTTTAACACCCCCCTTGCCATATGTAAGTGGGTTCAGAGAGAATCCACTCAATGGGGTGACCGTCGTGGTTTTGCTTCGTTTACCTTTCACTCGTGTTTTATCGTACTTTAAAATTTTAATTTCATTTGCTTCCATAAGAGGGTGATCATACTTTTATCTAAACATTAACTAAGCTCGCGCAAAAGTAGGTATGTCTTTAAATAGAAAATATAAAAAAACCTTTCTACCAGTTTAGAACAATATGTCTCTAAGTCTATAGTGTAGTCGCTAATGTTTAATTTAAAAAAAATGAAAATTTCTCATGGTAAGTCGAAAATGGGATCATTAACAACGTGAAACTTTATGGTGCTTTTTTGGAAACTGCAACGTCTTTCCTGCATGCAGTATTATTACCGTTCAGGATTTCCATTAAGTGTAAATGCCGTTACTATTTACCTTGTAATTGTATGCTTCTATCAAATAATAGTTTATCCGTAGAGATGCCTCGTAATGTGTTTTAGCCTATGTATCGTATTAGCTGTCTACTTCAAAGGTTAAAAAAGGTCAACGTGTTTCATTCCTCCGGCTCCTTCTCAGGGTTTCCTGACCTTCTTCAGCTAGAGAACGGGAATGTAAGCATGGGTAAAGGGAAGGGAACGGAAGGTGTAACGTTATTTTCTTACCGATTGAAATTTCTGATTTTACTTCTATTTAAGTAACTTTTTGATGCTTACTTTCGTGTATATTTGATATTACGCCATCTAGGTGTTTCCTTTGTCATCGACTAGTTTAAAGATGTTATTCTTGTAGTAGAGTTCTTTTACCTTAGTTCTTTGTTTTGCCATTAGAGGTCGTCCGAGTTTTATACATTTTTTATTACAATAGTTCTTTGTTTCACGGGCCGAGGTCGTGAAGATGTTTTCCGTGGTACTTCTAATGCTATCCCTTCCTTAAGTTGGTATTGCACGCAGTTGTATTTCTTTTCCTTTCAATGAAGATTCTGCCGTCGCGTTGGTTACATGATATTGCTTCTTGGGTACGCCATTACTTTGTATTGACTTTTGTCTACCTGTAAACGGATTATTGTTTTGGCTGTTAACCATATACCTTTAGAGTGTGACGAAGAAAATCTGAAAGAAAAGAAATAATCCAGCATTACGGCTCCAGTTGCTCTCGGTGCTATGGGTGGTTCGACGATACTGAAAAAAAAACTGCTCAGAGAATTTAGGCGCCACTAATTTTCGGTAAATCCAGCCGTACAGGAAAAACTAGACCCCTGCTCCTGGTGATGTGGAAATGCAAGACGAAGGGTAGAATTATAACGAGGAGAAAATAGAGAAAAGTAGCAAAATAGGTATTTATTCGGGAAAATCAAGGTTTGTAACTAACGACGATATTGTAGGGCGAATAATGGTGAATGAGAAATGGCAGTGGAATGATAACAGGGAATAAACGCAATAAAAGAACGATACGAGATGTCGTCTCACGACGGACGAAGACGAAGATTTGGTAGCAGTACTGTACAGGTATAATATAACAAATATATATTGGTTGTAAAAGCAAATCACAAATACAAGTGTGCCTCTCCTCTACTCTTAATCCCCAAAATAGAGTTTATAAGGACGAATATTAATTCCTTTTATTAAGTAGGGTGAACTTCAAGAGGGTAGTAATCCTAAAATTTTTGGATATTAGCGGCTATAAAAATTTCGCACCTCACTAGCACATGACAAAATTGACAATAATCGAAAACGGAAACGAAACGTAGAAGATTTTGAAAAAACGAACAGTAAGACCAATAATTAAGGAACATAAAAGTTAGCGGGAAAAGATGAATAGGTTTTTGAAAAGAGCGGGAAAGATAGCGTAGTTTAGACGAAATAACAACAGATGGCCTTGAAAACGAATCAGAGGCGTAACATTGAATAAAATGCTTTACACATAAGCTTAGAAAATTGGAATAGTGAAAACAGTAATGAAAGAAGAAGCGTTTAGAGCGTGAAAAGGAAGATAAAATTGTAAGAAGAGGGCCAGAACCGAAAGAAGCGAAGAAACCAAAAGAAGAGGTTTAAGAAAATGAGTACGCCTATGAGATGAAATTCAAAAATTCAAATAAACAAATTCCTAACCTAAAAATCAAAATAAATAGTGCAAAAATAAAGTAAAAATGGACCTGTAACAAGAGTGGTTTCTCTCTTTCTACGAGACGCGGAGTAGGGGGTCGCCCTAGCTTCCTCCGGGGTTGGTGAGAGGGAAAATGCTTGCGTTTTCGATTAGCGCGGCCGGGAGAAGTGGTTTCAACGCGGAATCTTACCTGTACCTTCATCATCGATATGAAGTTTTGCTCGTAATCATTTCTACCTTTTGAAAAATTGTTGTGAATTCTCTAAATTAACGTGTTCGATCATTATTGCATTAGAGGATTTATTAGTTTGGATTGTATTGGGGTTTAACTTCACTATTAACGTAATAGTTTTTTTTAGTTTGATATATTTTTGGGAGGAAAAATTTACTTTAGATTATTGAAGTGGTATTGATGATTGTTGAGAAAAAATATATCAGCATTTCCTTAGTTAATTTTATTGTTACTTTCCTTGGCATATTCCCAGTTTTATACAGAGAGAAAGAAATTGGCGCGAAACCATACTAGGAAGCTACGACGATTTAGTGCTCAAATGAACTGATCACGGAAGGGAATCTCAAACCCGCGGAACATAACGAACACCGGGAAGCAGCGAAAGAGATTGAGGCAAAACCGCGACAATCAACTTTCGCAGAAAGTGTGGCATTACTCTGCAATTAAAAGAGCAAACTTGGGTGTAGTCCGTGAAGAATCTAAAGACTTGTTTGAAGCGTCAGCAGAACATGCTTTGACTCCGTGCATATCCAAAAGTCATTATGTCTCGGTGTATTGCCTTAGAGTTCAATTTCTGGTTTGGGGATTTAAGACAATCTACGTTAAACGTCCCGAGGTTGGTAGAACGTGTTCCCTACAGGAACAGGGTGGGTTTCTTTATTATCTTGTTACAAAAGACCAATTTTGGGATATGCCTAGTTACGAAGATTTTTGGAATACGTGACAACACTTGAAACAACAACTACAAATTCATGGCGCTACGAAGCGCAATATGCTGGAGGTGATGATCCAGTTGATTTCATTTCCTTCGAGAATGGAAGATGAACAAATCAAAGCCGCGTTATAGAACGAGAGTCACATTAAGGACTGTTATATGTCCGTCATCCGTATTGCAAGACGCAACAGTTTTAAAGGGGAGCAATGCAGCGAATTTTCCAGAGTAACATCAAAGCGCCATCAAGTCGCCACAAAGTCGATAAAGGATTAGTCAGCTGCGATAAGGAATTAAAACGAATGTGATGCATTCTTTCCATGAAATATGATACTACACAGTGTAACTCGCACGACACATATATCGGCAATTCCAGAACAATATAATTCAACAATATAAATAAGAGTAGGTATATGAAGACTATCATCCTGCCGTATACACTTACCTTCTCCGTGGTGGGAGCCATTGCTATGTTTGCTCCTGCTAATGATTTAACACTTCTTAGGGTATTATTTACATGGTTTACTGGGAGCATTGTAAACACCGACCGTATCGCCACAGATTTCGATTCTCTAGTAGTTTAGCATCGTAACCAGTTGTCTTGAACGAAATTTGGGTGTATGCTTTTTATCACTCGCACGTCAGTAAGGGAGGTATTGCATTAGGGTAAAAAATTAGCTCCCCCCCCCCCAACTTTTTTGACAGAAATACATGTTTGGAAGCACCAGGAATCCAAACCAAACAAAATCTCGATGATGTCTGTCTTTCCAACTAAACGGCTGAACTGATTGGAACCAAATTTAGTCTATCCAAACTACATATCCAGCCAGGAACTGACTGACTTTGACGAACGTGAAGTGACAGTTGGAAAAAAGTTACCCACTTAAGTATATTTCAAATGCCCAAATTATCAGATAAGAAGGCATTATGTAGAAGGTACATACCTAATGTATAGTATAATATTTAACCTCGTTTCTGTTTACCTTCACTATTGACTTTAGTAAATATCAAATAAAATTTACAAACAGTAAATCGTAACAAAAGTGATAGAAATACAAAGGTCGCAAGCAGGAAAGCCATGACATCCAACAGAAAATACTGATAGTATGGCACATCTACGGATCGACTTCTCATATGCTTTGCCCCTTTGTGCCTGATTACGTATTCAATCCACCAAACTGCCTGTTTCAAGGGGCCCATCGGTAAATCTTTCGCAACTTCTGTCATTTCTCTAATACTTTCTTGGTATTTCGGATTATTAATTACTTCCAGAATTGCCGCCTTAAATTGTTGCTTGGTTAACTTATTATAATCAAGCGCTAGTCCGAAACCCTTCTCTTCAATATTTTTGGCATTTACGGGTTGATCGGCAAAGAATGGTAAAACTACCATTGGAACGTTGTCATATATTCCCTCTTCCAACGATTGCAGGCCTCCTTGTGTTATGAATAGTTTAATGCTTGGATGTTCTGGAAACAAAAATGGCGCAGAGGTTTCTAATTACACTTACTGAGAATGCTTTGCTGAGGCCACCATTTTGAAACAATCACGTTGTCGGGTTTATTTTTTATAATTTCGGAATCAATCTGCCAAAGCACCAGATACGGAAGTTCCGTGATTGTTTGAAGAAGGACTTTTTGCAAAGCTTCAGATAGAAACTGGCTATGAACATTGGTGCCCAGACTGAAGTATATGAACCCCTGTACTGTTTGATCCAAGATATCTTGTAAGTCCTAAATTTAAGACGGTTAGTAAAATTCGAAAATGTAAGCCAGAAGTACCTTTGGTAGTGGTTTGATAGAGGCGTGATGTAATCCTCCTCCAATTTGATTAATGGACGGCATCATAGGTCTTAGTTGGTGGAAAGTGGGGCTCGTATTCATAAGTAGAATGCTCGGATTCTTCGCCAATTCGCTTATAGTGGGGGAGTCTTCACCGAAATGCTTGTTAATAACAGCCTGCTCGGCTCCATTTAGGTAAAAGTATATGTACATATCCGTTGCAACAGAAAACATAACGCCCAATAGTCGCTCGAAAAATGTCAGTTCACCGGACAGTGGAAGAAAAACATCCGGATAAAGGACTGGGTGATTAGGATTTCCCACTAACCTGTACCTGAAATTTGGTAAATCCATAGAAACTACACCAACAAGGGGACAATCAAATTTTTGCGCGAATATAAACATTGTCGGTAAAAAGTACTCAGCAATCACCAGATCGAAGTGAGCATCCTCATCGTTGAGCAAGTTCTGCACCTCGCAATGTGAAAGTTCTGCATCTGCAACCTAACAGTCTCGCTTAGACGTCTTGACCTCTTGCTTTAACTCACCGTTAATAACGCTTCGAATCCGTAATGGTACATTTGAAACCCATTTAGTGAGTTCATGAAATTCTGAACTTTCGTTTCCCAAATGTCGTACACAAAGTGCAAATTAATCTCCGTCAAATTTACAAGCGATGGATCGTTGATTGTGTCGGTTGTGAGAGTTGTTACCTGATGGCCACGTAACGACAACTCCCTCCAAATGGGTTGGAAGACTACTTGGTGGCTGTACGAAGGGGTAGGCACGATGCCTAAAATTTTTGCACAATTTCCGCATTGCGTTGCTAAAAATAGTATAATAATCACTTTCATTTTTACTGTTTGAAACTTGTTTTCTACAAAGCTAAAGATGAAATATTGAACGTTGAAATTGCTAATTTGGTTCGTTATAAGTAGATAATATTAATTTTCTATTTCGGTGTCACAATGATGATTTTGTACAACTGTTTTCGGCCGAAAACAGTTGTACAAAGACAGTGATTATAGTCGTTTTTTTTGGTATAATCTCTTAAGTTGGCAGTTACTTTGTACAAGTATTCGTAATAACAAGTTATACTCGTAATATGGTAAAGATAAGAAAAGGGTCACCCATTTTGTAGTCTACTCCACCATGTTTGGAAATGATAACATTATAGACGGATGAAACAAAAATACGCACGAAGTTGCTTATATACATTTGCGAGGTGCGTCTTTTGGAAATAGAAAAAATACATGAAAAACGCGTGTTACAATGCTTTATTGTAATACTCCTATCTTGCGGACACTCGTGAGACGCTTCGCGTCGCCACTCGTGCCACAAGATAGTCGTATTACAATAGGTCGCATTGTAACACTTGTCTTTCAATATACTATTGTAAAATGGGAAATTTTTTCCTTTCTTCTAACCGTGTTCATACGCAAATATTAATTACAATGAAAAAGTACTTTTAGCGTTTCCCACAGTTATAAAGTGAATGGATCGTGTCCCTCAAGCATTTTCTATTGAAGGTTGAAAATTTTACTCGTTAAATTTCTAGAAGACACGGTCCGTATTGAAATACAAATACAACAATACAATTTACCTTGTTTATGTGGCGTCTAAATCTACCCGTCGAGCAGGTCAACTTTCGACACCCTCCATTTTAGGATTCGTAGAAATGGCAATTCGTTGGTTGAAGTTACACCGTAGCTCGAAAGGGGCCTTCTCTTGTTGCAAATACCTACAGCGTAGGTTATTTTGTCTTTTGAAGCGTAATGATTTGCATCAGTATTTTCGGCGAGTACTTAATGATGTCTTTGCTTACTTTACTTTCCTTGCTTTTTTTAGTGTGGTAAATAAGATGGAAGTGTCGCAACTCCTTTTTGTACAAGGGTAACATCGGTAACAGTCCCTCCCTCCCCTCTCCCTCCTGCACAGGGGTTGTAGCGTCGGCGCTGCAGACGGTTAGATATGTGGTCTTCCCTGTACAGGGCGCAGATCGTATCTTTCACCCTGTCGTCTACTGTTCCGCAGTTCACGTAGCTGCTGCGTTATCAGGTTTGGTTTTTATGGACCGTTTGTTTGCCTCCTCTCGCGCCTCCAATGTCAGTGGGGGCGGTTGTTCTCGAGCTTTCCGCTCTCCAGGCCTGGGTACGTCGTAACCTAAGAATTCTTGCCTCAGTATTACTGTGGAGGCGTTCTTCCTTCTTCGTAGAGTGAACAGCACTATCGGAAGTATGGTTTCCCATTCGATTTTCAGTATGATCTCTAAGCTAATGGAAACTACTGACAGAACATAAATTTCAGTCAAAGCAGCGGTAATATAAAGATTGTGAAAGATTGTATGCGATTTTTTCTTGTCTGTTTTACTCGAGTTGACATTTAAGGTTTTTCCGTTTTAAAGGACAGCAAATATATCAAATGTACGCTCGGAATTTAAAAACGTGTATTAAATAAATCTACACATTTTCTTTTGCATAACAAATATGGATGCCGGTCGAAATTTTAGTTTAAAATTTAGTTGTATTTTTCCTAATAAAAATATCTGTTGATTAAACCAGAGGTATGTGTTAACCTGTTGTTCTTGTTAAATCCGGCTAGTTGACAGCCAGTAATCCTCATCCGGCCTCTTAAAGAAAAGGGAAAGGGATAAATCATATCTCAATAATCTTTATTAAATTATTATGTTGTTCTTATTTTCTTTAAAGTATATCTTAGCTGCAATAGAATAATATATTAATAAATGGGAGTTTGAGGCGAAATAATCCCTCAAAGTAAAAGGTTAAACGCAAACTACGCGATAGAACAATTGCTCATAAACACATTTATTGTTTGCGAACCAGGAGTTTTAGATGCGTTCTGGTCACGCCTTTCAATCCAAATAAAATTGATCCTCCTTCCAGTTATGTTTTACACGGACCGATTATAGAATTCCTATTGACGTTCCCTTTACTCAGTAGACGGGGCTTACTGGGTCCACCAAAAAAGTTCGAGGACCGCAGACAAACCGGTAAGCTACACGCTGAATTTTTCGCGCGGGAGCAGAGGACAGAATCGTGCGACATCTTCCCACAACGAAAAGTTCGCATCGCAAGGATGCTAAACAGTCCGGGATCTCCTGCATCCGCTGCTGATACGTTGCCACCTTCAATGCCACTTGACCGAGACGATGCTAGACCTAATACCAGTATAATGGTGAGCATCAATAACAAAGAACTGGCCGCTCTACTCGACACCGGATCGACACATAACTTTATCCGACGCGAGTTCACTCACAAGAGTACACGAAGGATGCAGCCACGTTAACCGATCCCAGCCACCGCCTGCAGATAGCGCCTGGGAAACCATACTTCCCTATGAGGTGTGTTCGACGGGGTTCGCTTGGGGGCGACAGATGAACGTTGTCCAATGTAGACATCCTCATTTCCAGAGTGCCGCGGCCCACATGACCCAGATGAATTGGGAGCCGTTGTCGGTGATTATAGCCCTCGGGAAGTTGTATCTCGCGAGGACCTCGCTTTCCAAGGTGTGGCTGCGGTTGCGGATGCTGTTCTCATTGGAGATGCTTTTACCCGCATGTTAAGGAGGGCTGTGACGACTATTATCTGGCTGTACCCCGTGGGGCTCATCATATCTACTGAGACTGACTCTCGGTGGCTATGTTGGCGGTGACCCTCCATTTCGAAAGAAATGTCTGTACTGCCTCCAAGCTTCAATCTTTGCTCCGAAGCGGCCAGGTGCGCCGTTGTGGGAAACATCGGTAACACGAATAGACCAAAGGGCATCACTCTGAATTGGTAGGAGGCTCCGTCAGGTGTCGCAAAGGCATTTAAAGGCTTGGACGCATCATCCAGTGGTACTTGCCAGTTTCCCGATTTTAGGTTCCGGCTATCTGCAGGCGGTGGCTGGGATCGGCTAACGTGGCTGCGTCCTTCGTGTACTCTTGTGAGTGAACTCGCGTCGGATAAAGTTATGTGTCGATCCGGTGTCGAGTAGACCGGCCAGTTCTTTGTTATTGATGCTCACCGTTATAGTGCGAAGGCCTCCAGTTGTATTAGGTCTATCATCGTCTCGGTCAAGTGGCATTGAAGGCGGCAGCGTATGTCCGGATGTAGCAGATCCCGGACTAAGTCTAGGTGGTCGTGCGCCGAGGTGTTGAGCCTCCTTGCGATGCGAACTTTTCGTTGTGGGAAGGTGTCGCACGATTCTGTCCTCCCGGGCGAAAAATTCAGCCTACCGGTTTGTCTGCGGTCTTCGAACTTTTTTGGTGGACCCAGTAAGCTCCGCCTACTGAGTAAAGGGAACGTCAACAGGAATTCTATAATCGGTCCGTGTAATACTTAACTGGAAAGAGGACCAATTTTGTTTGGATTGAAAAGCGTGACCAGAACGCATCTAAAACTCCTGGTTCGCGAACAATAAATGTGTTTATGTGCAATTGTTCTATCGCGTAGTTTGCGTTTAACCTTTTACTTTGCAGGATTATATCGCCTCAAACTGCCATTTATTAGTATGTTATTCTATTGCAGTAAAGATATACCTTAAAGAAAATAAAAACAATATAATAATTTAATAAAGATTATTGAGATATTATTTATCCCTTTACCTTTTTCTTTAAGAGGCCTGATGAGGATTACTGGCTGTCAACTAGCCAGGGCGCATATAATTAACAAGAACAACAGGTAAGCACATACCTCTGGTTAATCAACAGTAAAAAACAACTAAATTTTAAACTAAAATTTCGACCGGCATCCATATTTGTTATGCAAAAGAAAATGTGTAGATTTATTTAAACGTTTTAAAATTCCGAGCGTACATTTGATATATTTGCTGTCCCTTAAAACGGAAAAACCTTAAATGTCAACTCGAGTAAAACAGACAAGAAAAAATCGCATCCAATCTTTCACAATCTTTATATTACCGCTGCTTTGACTGAAATTTATGTTCTGTCAGTAGTTTCCATTAGCTTAGAGATCATACTGAAAATCGCATGTACGGAAACGTAGCCCTTTTTTTTGGTCGAAACGAATCCGTTCTGCCAAGACAGTAGAAATGCAAACGATCGATCACATTTTACGTTAATTTGTAGTTCTAATCGAAATGCGAATCGCCGTTTTGAGTGGCGTGCACAGCGTGAGCTTTTTGGTTAATCCCATTAGTCTCGGGCCCCTCAATTTAAATATCTAATTATACTGATTGGGGGTACCAGATATCTGCCTGATATCAATCTGATGCGTATTCACCTGATGATTAGAAAAGTTTTTCTGACAAAATATCGAGGGTGGGAAATTGATTTGGGTAATTAAATTATTTTGTATTTTACTGACACGAAACGAACGGTTGCTTAATATGCGATATGCTGCAATAAAAATTTAGGTTCTGTCTGCATACCTAAAATTCCGGAATTTATTGTTCTTTTTGTCGCAAGATTCATCAATAATCTGGACACGTGTTGTTTATTATTATTTTTTTACATCTAGGAGTATATCCAGACTTCAGTTTACGGATAAACCTTCTCTTTAATGGCGTATTGATTGTGAGTATATCCATTAACAGATTACCCATTTCATTAGCAAGTAGAACAGATAACTCAGTAACGTAATAAACCAATACAGGTTGGTCATGTTTACGTATTATCAGTATTAACTGATTGGTTTCGAATTACGTTTGTTTTAAGTGTCGGTTTTCCTTAAATTACTCTCAATGTGCCATATACAGAAATACATACATTTCAAACGTGCGTATACGATTAAGTTTCAGGAACTGTCAAGTAAAAGCAGTAACAGTTAATATAAACGAACTTATTTCATTACACTGCACAGCTTTTTTCAATTTTCCATTAGATTTGGGTATA